GGAAATCCAAAGTCTCTGTAAATTTTCATTAAAATTAATGATTAAAGAAATTGAAAGAAAAAAAAAATGATATAGTTTTGCTATAAATTTACTTACCAGTAAAATAACAAAACCAATTTTTATTTAAATAACAAAGTATCTATCCTTGTTCATTATTAAAGCTAGCATTTAAATTAAAATTTCTTTTTAGAAATGAGTAATCTCTTAAATTAAACATTACAGATTCTTATAATTACTTCATTTTCAGTAAATATTGTTAATAAGTGATAGTATTATCATACTTTAATAATATTGAAGATTCTTCAAATGATTTTTTTGTTTTATGGGTGTTTTTTTTCAGCTTAAGAGAGTTTATTCCACTTTTTCATTTTGTTTCCTTGGAAAAGCTGGATATTAGCAACAATTGTCTTTCTGGTAAGTTTAGAATAATGTATTGTTTAAAAAATAATAGACTTTTGACTTTTGTTCTAAATATGGTAGAGAGTTATTTGTAATCGATAGATGCATAAATGGAAATTAAAAGTAATAAAACTGTATGATAAGCTTGCTGAAAAATTTCAAAAGGGATTTTCCACTTTGAAAATGATACAATTTATTGAGTCACGGTATTATTATCTTTGTTTAAAGAATATTAAATTGGATTCTGTAAGTCAGTTAAATTACCTGTGGATGATTGTGTTTTGGGGAGGCCAAGTTTTATTCTTTCCTAAGACAGATGATATTTTTGTTCCATTTGTATAGCATGCTTCCACTCTAAGGTATGGTTTTAACTCAATGCATAGTCTCCCTGGATTTAGGTGAGTTGCTGAGATGATTAGTTCAGCCTCATGCTTACTTACCAGTGTCTTTTGCAGCAATATGACCTTTCCGTGAATACAGCTATTAGCCTTATGATAGATGATCTTTCTTAGGTTTTGTAGAGTTTTACTATGGACATTTATCATGTACAGGTGCATTTCAAATTACTGAGCAGCATAGATGTCTGAAGACTAAGGTAGGTTCAATTCAGGCCACGGTCTTTTCAGTCACTTGCTAGGCATTGCAATGTTGGACAATAAATAAGGGTGACAGAGTAGAATTGATGCTTATGAGTTGTAATCCTGGAGAAGAACATTGAACTGCACTTAGAAGGATGGCAAAAACAACAAACAGATATGTCTTGAGAAAAGTACAGACAGAGGGCTCCTTGGAGGAAAGGATGGTGTAGCTTCATTTCACATATTTTGGGAATGTTGCTAGGAGAGGCTATTTCTTGGAAAGGAAGATCATGCTTGGAAAGGTAGAGAGTCAGTGAAAGAGAAGAAGACCTCCAAGGAGCTGGATTGACACAGTGACTACAGCAATGGACTCAAGTGTATGAGAGATGAGGAGGAGGGCACAGGCTAGGGCAGGGTTCTGAACTCTTGTTAATAGGCTTGTTATGAATTGTACTCAAGTAGACAGCACATAACAACAGCAAAAACATCAACAACAACAATGTCCAGCCTGTCTCCACTTAATTGCCAGATTAATTAATTTCCCTCCATCTCTAGTTTCTCAGTATGATTATAAAGTGATCTTGAGGTTTACCTATGGGTCTTCCTTCTCTTATGCCAGTTTTGCATTTCCCTGTACTGGTGGCTTAAAATAGGTGCTTCATGTAGTATGTCCAAGGGTTGGTGGTTTTACTTATGAGAACTATTATGCTAGAAATTACTCTGTCAACCATCATAGATTTCCTATTGTTTTGATTATTTCTAGCTTTTAAAAATATAATTCTTTTTGCACAACAAGGAGAGAATAACATCAATTGGACATTGTAAAGATTAAGCCTTTATGTGCATATCTTTTTCCAGTAGAGTAAAAAGAAAATCTACTGACTGGGGAAAAAAATTGGCAATGGCATCTAAGACAAGGGTCTCATAATGAAAATTTAAAGACTACTCCTAGGCCTCTATAAGAAAAAGACTTATAATCCAATTACAAAATAGACAGAAAACATGGAAGACTTCTCACAGAAGAAAACATTTGGATGGCCAGCAAATACATGAAGAAATGTTCAAAATCACCAGCAGTAAGACAGATGCAAATCAAAGCCACAATGAGAAACCATCTCTCAATCTAGTAGCAAAATTTAACAGGACAGCAAAGAATAAATGTTGGAGAGGATGTGGAGAGATAGAAACTCTTATACATTGTTGGTGGGATTTAAAAATGGTACAAACACTCTGAAAGGAAGTTTGGTACTTTCTCAAAAAGCTGAACACACAAATTCCATATAATTCAGCTTTTCCACTGCTAGGAAAATAGAACTGAGACACAAATGTAGATTTTTACACTGATGTTCATGACAGTGTTATTCACATTTTCTTCAGGAAGAAAATTGAAACAGTCCAGATGTCTATCCACAAATGAATGGATTGAGAAATTTTGGCACAGTCACACAGCACTCAGCAGCAATGATTTAGAGAAATACTATGTAACTTAAGAGAGGCTATAATATGCTGGTTGAACTAAGTCTCATAAGGACAAATACTGCATGAGACTGCTGTTGCTGCTGATTGCCTTCGAGTCAAACACAACTCATAGCGACACTATGAACAAAAGGCCTGAAGCCCCTTTACAACTATCGGCATTTATCAAAGTACATAGAATTTCCAGAGGCATGTTATTTAAGAAGTGGATACCATTCCTGCTTCCAAACCCATCATAGTATGTTATTGTTTTTATGAGCCATTGAGTAACCTACGATGTATAGCAACCGTATGGATAGCAGCTCTGAACCCTTCCCTGTACTGAGCCAGTCTTACTAACCCTGACACATGAACCCCATTGCCCCAGTCACTGTTTCAATCCATCTCATCCAGGTTCTCCCTCTCCTGCACTGTCTGTCCTCCTTTCTGAGCATGATGTCCTTCTCCAAGGACCTATCTCTCCTGGCCACATACCCAAAGTAAGTGAGGCAGAGCTTCAAAATCCTAGCCTCCAAGGAGACACTTGATTTCACCTTCTCTGAGATAGACCTATTTATTTTCTTGGCAGTCTATGATATCTTCAAGACTCTTCCCCTACACCACAACTCAAAGGAATCTGTTCTTCTTCTGTCATCCTTAGTCATTGTCCAATTCTCTGAGACTGAATACTGCTCTAGAGTGCCAAGAAGCCAAAGCAAGGGGAGGGAATCAAGACCTTAAAGAGCTAAATAGGAGATTTCAAAGCGCTGTTCAGGAAAACAAGGCAAATACGATAATGAAATGTGCAAGGAGCTGGAGTCAGAAAATCAAAGGGGCCAAACTTGATCAGTCTTTATTAAGCTGAAAGAACTAAAGAATAAATTCAAGCCATGAGTTGCAATGCTTAAGGATGCTATGGGTAGAATAGTGAATGATTCAAGAAGCATTAAAACCAGATGGTAGGAGTATACAGAATCATTATACCAAAAAAGAATTTGTTGACACAGGAAAAAATTCAAGAAACAGCATATGAACATGAGACTATTACTGTAAAAAAAATTGAAGGACAAAGAGGGAGAGGGCGAGAATAGGGAAATTAAGGATGAAGAGGGGTGAAATCACAAGGTCACAGAGTTTGGTGGGCAGAGGAAAGGGGTGAAGAATTAGGAAAAATCCAGTGGCTACCTGAAAACTTGGGGTTATAACGAGCAATGCTCAATGGTGATTTTATAAAACACGATGTATCAGAATTGTAAGAAAAATACAATGTGAATTAAGGAATGTGTGAAACACAATGTATATAAATTCTGTATGAAAACCAATATAAAATAAAAAAAACCGCTGTTGAGTCTATTTCAACTAATAGCATCTTCCTATGACAAATTATTACTTCCCCAGAGTTTTCTTTTGTCAAAGTGGTTAAGTGCTGAACCACTACCCAAGAAGTCAGCAGTTTGAACCCATCCACTGCTCCACAGAAAAAAGATACAGTAGTTTTCTTCCATAAAGATTTATAGCCTTGGAAACTTCATGGTGCAATTCCACTCAGTTATAAAGGTTGCTCTGAGTTAGAATTATTTTGACAGCAACAGATTTTGTTTTTTATTTGTAGGAAGAGATTAATAGATCTTTCTGGTTTAGAGCTGTTAGATGGGTTCTAACCAACAATCATTCCTTAGCAATCAAAGGATTAACCATTATAGCTCAGGGATCCTAAGAAAAGATAAACTCCCTCATTTCCATGAAGTCAGTACTGACTGATTGATGATACCCCATAAGGTTTTCAGAGATCACAAATCATACAGGAGGAAGCCGATCTTTCTCCAATGGAGTATCTGGTAGATTTGAGCTACCCTACTAGCACAAGTTCCTACTCACTAGACAATAGAGTTGCCTAAGATAATGTTGTTGTTGCTGTAAGTGCTGTTGTTGCAACTCATAATTACTCTATGTACAGTAGCTCTGAACCGTGCTCTATCTTGTGCCAACATCATCTCCAACACCCCACCTCCCCCTTTATCCCAGTCACTGAGTCAGTCTCTCTCATCCAGAGTCTTTCTTTCTTGCTTTGTCTCTCCAGTCTCCTAAGCATGATGTCTCTCTCCAAGGACTGATCCCTCTTACAACATGCCCAAAGTATGCCAGACGTAGCTTCAGAATCCTTGCCATGAAGGAGCAGCCTGGTTTTACCCTCTCAAGGATAAACCTGTTTGTACTCCTAGCAGTCCATGACATATACATTATTTTCATTATTCTTCTTCAGCACCACAGTTCAAAGGCATCAATTTTCTTTCTGTCATCTCTAGTCATTGTCCAGCTTTCTGATACATAGCAAGTATCTATGAAGACCATGGCCTGGATAAGGTTCACCTTAGTCTACAGACTGACATCATTGCTCTTCAGTACTCTGGAGAGGTCCCTGCCAGTAGAATTTCCCAGTCCAATTCATCTTTTGATTTTCTGTTTGCTGGAACCAAGAGTGTTGATCGTGGAGCCAAGCAACCTGAAACTGTTAACGATCTCAATCTCTTCACCATCTATCATGATGCTGCCACTTGGCCTTCTGGTGAAAATCTTTGTTTACTTCATGTTGAGTTTCAATTCATAATGAAGGATGCAGCCAATGCCTAAGGTCCTCCTCAGTTTCAGCAAGCAAGGTTGTATCATATGCATCATGCAGGTTGTTGTTGATGAGTCTTCCTCCAATCCTGATGCTACGTTCTTCCTCATAGAGTTCAGCCTTCAAGATGATCTGTTCTTCATATACATTGAAAAGGTATGGAGGTAGGATGCATCCCTGGCATACACCTTTCCTGATTTTGAACCATACAGTGTCCCCTTGCTCTGTTCTGACGACTGCCTCTGGTCCAAGTATAGATTTCACATAAGCACAATCAAGTGTTCTGGGATTCCCATTCTTCTCAAAGTTAGCCATAGTTTGTTGTGATCCACACCATCAAATGCCTTTCCATAGTCAATGAAACACAGATAGGCATTCCTCTGGTACTCTCTGCTTTCAGCGAAGATCCATCTAACATTAGCTGTAATATTCCTAGTAGTATCACCTCTTCTAAATCCAGCCTGCACATCTGGCAGTGCTCTGTTGATGTGCCATTGCAGTCATTTTTGGATATTGCTTGGATGCGATATTATTGTTTTATCATTTCTTCACTGTCAGGTCACTTTTTAAAAAAAATGGAAACAAATAGAGTTCTCTTCCATTCAGTTCTTCAGGTGGTTGTCCTCCAGACTTCTTGGCTCAACTTGGTGATCACTTTCAGAGCAGTGTCTGGTTGTTGTAATATGCCAAGTTTTTCAGAACAGCTTAAACTTTCTCCTTCATCACCATAGGCTTTGATCATGCATTGTTGCATGAAATTCTTCTGTGTCGGCCAATTCCTTTGGGTAAAATGACTCTGTATATTCCTTCCATCTTCTTTTAATGCTTCCTGGATCATTTAG